TTAGCGTTAACGTTGCGTCGACGGAACGTTACGGAGCGCGTCGAATACGGACTTTTAGTACAGCGGAAGAAGAACGCATACGTAAAGACTTGTAGCGCCATCTAGATTTGCTCCTGTAAACTGCTTCAAACAATCCAAGGCGGGTATTCGGTCAAGCCAATACAAAGCCCCGATTCTCCTCGCTTTGTTACGGAAGTGCGTGTTTCCGTGTGCCTGCTGTGTACGTGTTTTGTCTTTTTTTTTTTTTTTTTCGTGCCGACCGCACGGTAAACATTTTTTTGGGTTCGACGGCGTCGCCAACGTTCTTGGCTATCGACACCCATCTTTGTGGGTGCTCGAAAGGGTTCGTCGCGTTGACCTCTTTCAGGAGGTTGATGTCATCTTCAATGGTAAAGCGAACCCGTGCAATGCGCGTAGCACTTCCGCTGGTTTGCCTCACCGCCGCCATTTTTCAAACTGGACTAGTCTCGCGCTCTCCCGTGCACGACGAGAGCAACGAGATGGCACGCAGGGGACCGCTACGGCCGCTACGTACGTTCGCAAAAATCGATAGCGAGCGTACGTACGCAAGGCTCGCCGCAGTGCGTACGTATGGCGCATGCGCAGTGTGGAGGACGCAACGTTAACGTTAACGTATGGGGTCTGCGTTTGCTCCTATACGTATTACTAAAACTCTCTATTGTCTCTCCAAGTAATCTGCCGCAAAGTAGGCGCGCGCGGCGATTTCCGAGACATACCTCGGTGCAAGATTACGAAAGACAACCTCGCTGTACAGTCGCGACAATATTGCGTTTGCTCTCTCGTATCCGGCGTTCATCGTGATCCGTGAGTAATATTCTATAGTTTTCAGAAGGGGATATTTGGCGTATCTCTTCTTAGATTTATCTAGTATACTAACAATACCGATCACAGCGAGGAGAACAAACTTCGGATCGAGACGGAGATTGTCAACCTAGACGTCGAAGAGTCACTGCTGAGCTGGTGGCACGGCGTATCGCCAACGAAACCCTAGCCATTTATGACGGAATGAGCCGTATCTACATCGGTGGCAGCGTCTAATACAGTGACTCCCTGAATTCAGCATCCGCCGATCTTGCAGCAATTTGGCTTGTACGATTCACTTGGTAACGGGAAATATACCGCGAGTTGCCATGTTCAGCGGCTCTAAAGAGAGCCCTACACCCCATGTCACACTGCTAATACATCATGCAAAGTAGAATTCCCAACAATGTCCGAGTCGTGTATTTCTTCTTTTTTTTTTGTGATATTGTTAAATTGGTTACACAAAAAAAAAAACTTTTTGCAGACATGCTCTAAGCACATAAATGTGTGAAGAAAACATGGCTCGAGCATGATTGAGGCGTGTCCGCACCTGTTGCCAGCATAGCCGAGAGTGCCGGATTCAAAGCTGCACTTTGCGAATTTTTTTTTGGATTTTGGTTGTCAGTGTTTTGTTTTAACAATGTTCTGTTTTTGGATTTTTTTGCTTACCTGCCTAATTACTGTTTGTCTTTGTGTGCAATTAGATGTGTGTGACCACTCCCCTCTATAATGCCTTCGGGCCCTGAGGGAATGAATAAATAAATTAATTAATTATTTCTGTCATCACGTCTGTGGCGAACATCGTGTCTTTTGCATGGTGTACGAGAGAAAGTGGCACCTCTTGCAAAAGTTGCTTCCCATAACTGCAAACGGACAGCGACCATCGTGAGAATCTCCGTTCATTTCCCACCAGTGGGCGCCCTCCCACGTTGGCATATGTGGGAAGAGGCCCATGGTGACATTTCAGAGACGGTATTTTGTCGCCTAAGGGAAAAAAAGAAAAAAGCGCGACAAATAAGGAGGCAAATTGAAAGAACACACAAAGACACAGTGCTGTGTATGTGTGTTCTTTCGCGCTTTTCTTTTTTTTTTTTCTTCACTTAAGGGGAAGCTGAAGCAGTTTGCAATTTCAGGAAACACACTTAAATCGTGAAAAGACGGTGAGTGTCCAGGCGAGCTGGTGGTAGCTAATCATGTCGTATTACACCTGAGACTGCGGTGGAAGAAATCGGAAGCACTTTCAGTAGAAGGAACAGACACAGAGAACGTCTCCGTGAGACGTCTCCGTGAGACACAGAGAACGTCTCCGTGAGACACAGAGAACGTCTCCGGTGAGACGTTCTCTGTGTCTGTTCCTTCTACTGAAAGTTCTTCCGATTTCTTCCACCGCAGTCTCAGGTGTAATACGACACTTAAATCGTCTTCAATTGACCTCCAGGATTTCGAATATCGAAATTATATAAATACATATATGTCTTTTTATTTTTTTTATTTGGTGCACGGAGGCTGCAGAAAGTCATTTTCGAAATACCACTGAAGGCCCTCCTTTCCGGAGGACGACGTCACAAAAGGAGTTGCGATAGACGCTGAAGTGGCGCTCTCGCGCAGCTTCAGCGTCTATCGAAGCTGTGCACGCGCACTCTTATTTTTTTTAAAAGGGCAGAAAAAGACGTCACGACTGGTGCCAGTGCGGTGGAATATACCTGCCAAGCTTGCGATTGCACGCGCGTTTCTCGAACGACACGCGCTTGGCGGCCGAAAGATCCTCTTATGACGTAACCAAACCGGTTATAGTCGGTTGCAAGCTAAGAAAAAACCGGAAATGCCTCTCAGAGGAAAATGTAATCCTACGCCGAGAAACGCCAGCCAATTGTTTTCATGACGTCACGATTCTGTGGACCAATCGCGATCCTTTTGAAAAAAAAAAAAAGCTCAACATGGCTGCTGGCCTTAGCAACGCGAGGCTATAGTTTCTCGTGACAATTATTCTGCTTTTTTGCACCGTGATTTACGTGCCCGAGGTTACGCCACGAAATCTTGATGGTATCGGCTTGCGTTTGCAGCAGTTTTTGCGCGACAACGTGAGAATCCAGCGACGCTATCGCCAACGAAAATTTCGAAGCGGGCGCGAGGCTTAGCACTGCTGAGAGGTATGTTAGACGGTATGTTAGACAGTATCTTGGACAGAAAATGAATTGGGAAGACGGTACATTGGACATGAATTTCTTTCTTTCTTTACTAAACAGCTATTTCGTTGACAAAAAGTATTCTAACTTATTTAAATGTCCTGAATTAATTAAATAAATATTGTAGTAGTTTAAGACAGGTTTCCTGGAGGAAGAAAAAGCAACGTTGCTAGCGAACTACTTTCTCGACGGCGGAGGCACTTCAGATGGGCGCAATGCGCTTGTGGGTGGAGCTAAAAGATTGTTCTTAGGTTGCAACCAACTATAGAGGTTTTTCGTGTTTTCAAGCGTTTAGTTGCATCTTCGGGGTAAGCGAACGTGATATTGTCACAGATGGAAAAGAGCTCGACAAATGTAAACTGAAAATAAAGATTTAGTCGGCGAACTTATGCCAAACAAAATAAAGAACGAGCGTCGAGAGAGCAGAAAAGCGGGCGGCGATTTGCGAACAAACAATGCTCGGTCACGGTATTCTAGAAGATTCTCGTTGATTGTTACTCGGGACGTAACTTCTATCATTTCTTCCCAGTTTCTGGATCTCAACAGTGCCTGTTCATTGCCACCCCCGAACGCCCGATGCTCGAACCTTCTGGGCCGAATTTTCGCAAGTGCGGGTGGCGATTTGGCGGCGTAACAACAAGCGAAAGCGAGACTGACTCGACGAGGTCACGGGCAGGTCCTTATTACGTCGGCAAAGCGAAAATTTGGCCCAGAAGGTTCGAGCATCGAGCGTTCGGGTGAGAATGAGCAGGCACTTTCGAGAACCAGAAACTAGGAAGAAATGATAAAAGTTACGTCCCGAGTGACAATCAACGCGAATCTTCTATAATACCGCGACCGAGCGTTGTTTGTTCGGCCCTGCGAGTGGCAATATTCAGATTCACGGAATAAAACTACTCTAAAATCATCCTCTATCTCATTTCTTGAAAAAAGTGTTTCAGTGGGACCGTGGCCTTAAAGGGACACTGACACCCCCCAAAATTTTTTTTTTAATTTTTTGCCAGGCGCTTCATTATGGTGTCGGACGACTACCCAATTAATATTTTGCAACAGAGTAGCGTATTTTTTTAATAAAGCCAAAAGACGCAACTGCTCGAAACCGAAACCGAAACCCGACGGAGGTCGGAGAAGTGGAGAGAAGAGAGTGAGTGGCGGAAGTCACGTGGCTACACCCAACCGTGTGTTTTTTTTTTTTTTTTTTTTCCCCGGTAGCAGACGACATGCGGCGTATGGGAACTGTTCGCCGTGGGATTCCTTTGCAGTTATGTATGTTCCGCTCGTTGTTCTGTACTCCAAGATGAGTTGTTTTGTACACTGAGGAGTTGGAGATGAGTAGCGAGTGCCCGTGGTGAATCTTGATCGGCTCCGAAAAGAATACACCCAAGATGTTGCGTGAAGAGCTGGCTCACATGTCCCGCGTCCGAAACAGAAGTGGCGTTGTGCGACAGAGTTTCCGAAACATCAACGGGATCGGGACCAATGGCTGGCTGCAATTCCTGTAGACCATTTACGGGCACCTCGGAAAGCGGACGCTACCTGATTTATATGCTCCTTGCATTTTGTGGAAAGTGATTACATTGAGTTCGCAGGTGTCAAGAAGGAAATCCCATACCATTTAATTCAGCGACGTGCCGTCCACAACATTTGTTTCTTATATTTCTTTTTGGTTTGTTTCTTCAGTAATAATTGTAAAAAAAAACCAGAAATGTAGACATAAAAAAATATTTGAAAAAAAAAATGGTTTTACGGGGGATCGAACCCGGTCCTACCGCGTGTGAAGGGGACGTCTTTCCCACTGAGCTACTGGGGCATTTTTTTATTTATTTATTACATGGAAATATTACTAAGACGACAGCAAGACAAAACATGGCATGGTTATCACATCCCCATTCCCATTACATATAATTCTCTATCTTGAACTCTCATAGACTCATTGTCGTGCATAGACAGAAGGAACAGAAAGGAATATTAAATAAATACAAAATGCACGTGCTAAAAGTCAGGTAGATGAATGCATCGATCAAAAAGAACATACCAATCTGGCCGCTCGTCAAGGTAGTTAAATACATTTCGTACATGCGTTACGGTTTCAATAAAATTTGATTTGGTAGATCGGGGAGGGTCCGCATTCCTGTCAATCCTTCTTGTTTTCCAGAGGCTATGCAACCCCATTAATGTAAACAGATCGTAAGGAAAACTATCATTCAATTTTAAGGGCAAAAAACGGATTGTGTAGGCATTGATATTCAAGTCTTTTTTCAGTGTCCTTTGTAGGACATCCCAGAAAAGGTAAGCGTCGGTGCAGAAAATAAAACAATGCTCTATAGTTTCCGGTTGGTTACAAAGGCGGCAATTGATTGACCACGGCACAAAAATTCCACGTTCACGAAGCCAGGGTTTTACAGGTAACGTAGAAGTATGGAGCTTAAGGAAGAATGACTTTGCTGTAGGCGAGACATGTAGTTTTCGGACACGTCTAAGGACATCTTTTCCAGGGCCTTCACTATATATGCTTCGGTACAAAGGTTCAGGGAACGTTATGTCAATCAGATCAGCATATAAGACTTTGCGTGAAACCGTAAATAAATGCTCCAAAGAAAAACGAGCTGTTAGAAACTCAATCGCGCTCACTACTTCTTTGAGGTACCCCACAGGACGTGATGTGCTTGCGGGTATCGTCGTAACCACCAAATAAGGTAATGCACTCGCGAGTTCCGTCTGTAAGTAAGTGCGAAGGAAATGATGAGATGCAGTTCTGAAGAATAAAAATCGAGATATTACTTGCTTTAAAAAGATATGTATGGGTCCGAGACCGCCGACATCGATGGGGCGAAAGAGGTTATCACGTCTTGTAGGTTCCCAATAGGAACTCCATATAAAAGTAGCAAACACTCTGTGAAATTTTTGAATATGGCTTCTGGTACAGCAAATCACTTGAAGTGTATACCAAAGTTTGGCGGCGAGAAACATATTACAGGCCTTAGCTCGCCCGAAAATTGACCACAGGTTGGATTTCATCTTGTCAGCTTGACATTTGATTTTTGACACCCGTTCAGTCCAGTAATGACCATTGTTACGGATACTGTTAAGTGGAACTCCTAAGTACTGAGGGGCAATGCAGCTCCACGATATTTCAGCATACTCTGAAGGTGTTGTGGCCCATTGCCCGCACCAGAAACCTACGCTTTTCTCCTTATTAACGAGTGCGCCGGTTGCGTCACAGAAGTTTTGTGTTATTGTAAGGACATTGTCGACGCTGCGTTTTTCGGCACAAAAGAAAGCTATATCGTCTGCATATGCCAATACTTTAACTTCGGAAGAGTAGAGACGGAAACCCTCCACGATAGGGCTGTTAAGTACACTTAAACAGAGGGGTTCTAAATAAAGCGAAAATAAAAGCGGTGATAGCGGACATCCTTGTTTGACGGACGATTCAAGACTAATTCGATTTGAGAGTGAACCGTTAACTATAAGCCTGGTGGCACAGTTACGGTAGCATAACTTAACACCCTTTAAAAGTGTTGGTCCTGGGTTTACATGACGTAAAATAGCAAAAAGGAAAGTATGGGACACGCGATCAAATGCCTTAGCCAAGTCTACTTGAACCATGGCGACCTGACCGGCATGAAGAACGCAGCTTTCTATCACTGAACGCGCAACGTGGATGTTAGTTTGTATACGTCTCCCTCTAATCCCACAGGTTTGGTGGTCTCCAACAACAGATGACGTTACACACTGTAATCGTTTTGTTAAAATTTTAGCAAAAATTTTGTAATCTACGTTGCATAAACTAATTGGTCGATAGCCTTCAATGCGCTGTAATTTGTCTGGGTCTTGACTTTTAGGGATCAACACGGTATGGCTCTCATAAAATGACGGCGGTAAAGTTCCCATCTCATACGCCTCCAAAAACACCTCAAGTAGAAAAGGACATAGCAAGTCCTTGTATGCCTTGTAAAACTCTGCAGGGAGCCCATCAGGTCCTGGTGTTTTAGAATTTGGCAACTCGTCTACCGCGCATCGGACTTCTTCCAATGTTATTGGTCCACTGAGGAGATCTCGCTGAAGCTGCTTTACCTCGGGCATTAAAGAAACTAAGTTTTTTGCCAACTGGATGTCTAAATGTTGCGTTTTTCCAAAGAGACTTTTGTAAATCAACTCAAATGCCTTCATGATGACTTCTTCGTTGTCTGAGAGTGTCCCATTACATTCTAAAACTCTAATTTTCTTTGAAAGGCCGTTACGCCTCTCATCATCGAGTGCACGACGCGAGGGTTTCTCTGAGGACAAGAAACGCCTACACCGGGACCGTACTAGTGCACCGTGTAAACGAATGTGCTCGTATTGCTGTAGCTGACACTTTACGCGAAGAATGTCTTCTTGGAACATACCAGGTGTTTCGCCCTCCAACTCGTGAAGCATATACAGATTTTTCAAAAGTGTAGCTTCTTCCTTCTTTGCATGAAAGGATGCAATGCACGCGCATTCGATTGCTTCATTCTTAACTTCCTGTTTGAAGGAGTCCCACTGAGCAAATATGCCAAATTTCTGATTCGTTGACACGTGATTAAAACATTCGCGGACACGTTTCTGAAAGTCTTGGTTGTCTAGCAGTCTTGTATTTAGTTTCCATAAAGCCCAATTTGGTTGTGCCTTTCGCGGTGCGTCTGTTCCAAAACGGATCTTTACAAGGCAGTGGTCCGAAAAAGAAGCTGGTTTTACGTCATAAGCAGTCACGTGTGAAATAAGCGAGCTTGAGACGTAAATACGATCGAGTCTCGCATTACTTGAAGCATGAAGGTGAGTGAATCGGAGAGTAGTATTTTGGGAAGCTCCGACGTCAAAAAGGTGTTAGTCGAATGCAAGAGTGTTTAGTATGTCGGAACTACTATCGGGCCTTGCAGAAGGCACTGACCTGTCTTTTATGCTACACACACAGTTGAAATCACCAAATAAAACGATATGTTTGTCGGTGCTGAGAAATAGGGTCAGGCTTTCAAAAAAAGAACGACGCTGTCTAACGTCAATATAGGCATATATGCAAATTAATCGCCAGTAGGTACCGTATAAAAGGAAATCGCAACATATGAACCTTCCCTTATCGTCGACAGTGTGAGAAAGTGATGAATACCCTAAGTTCTTGTTCAAAAACAAAAAACACCCTCCCGACAAGCCATCAGCATGACTGACGCATACCTCGTAATGTGAGAGGAAGGGGTCCAGTGCACGAGCAGTATCCTCGTCAGACGATATCTTTGTCTCTTGAACAGCAACAAAGTCAAGATGTTTCTTTAACAGGAGCTTGTACAATTGAGATTGCCGTGCACGTGAACACAGTCCTCTCACGTTAATGGTAGCGAAGCTGAGGGGAGATGTCAGGAAGGTTTTTAGTTAGGGTGGGAGCACATCGTCATCGTTCCTCACGTCCAGAGCTTCCGATTGCGACGTCTTGTTGCAGAGGAACTCTCGCACCGCAGATGGCTTGCGTTTCACCTCACTTCCCTCGTCGTTCTTGCTCTCGGCAATAATACCTGAGGCGGAGGGCTGCGCATTACTTGTCGTCGTAGGAGCAGGTCGTTTCACCGATGTGCCAGTGGACGTCGTGGCGCGTTCGCGTCGGGCAATTGCTTGCTGGCACGGTAACTCAGGTGGTGCGTTAAGGGATGGAAACTCGCTATCCGACCAATCTCTCTTCGTTTCCGTGACACACTCGGCTGGTGTTGACAGTCCTGGCAGGGTGCTGGCAGACTCGGAATCAGAACGAAGTTCTTCTGGTCGCTGTGTAGACGTTTCCGACTCGGTCCTTTGTGTCTTGAGAAGGGAAGAGGCGATGTCCCCGGTGGCATCAACGACTTCGCTGATGTCCATAAGATGATCGTGGACAACATCGTCTGTTAGGCTTCTCGACTGCCTTAGCTTGTCTGCGTAGGTGGTGACGCACTCACTCGCGTCGTGTCCGTAGCGTCGACACTCGTCGCATCTCGGGACTCTGCACTCACGACGGATGTGACCAATTCTGTTACACCGAAGACACAGCGGTGGCCGACCAGGGACGAGCACCAGGCTTCGACAGCCGAAGACCGTGAGCTGATGCGGAATATTCGTTGCATTCATTCCTTCTCTAAGAGTCAGGGTCACCTCTTTGTTGAGCGTTTCCATTTGCTCCATTCCAGAGCACTTCTATTTTTCTCGTACAATGGAACGGACCGTGCCAAAAGGCGCCAGTGCCTCTTCGATTCTCTGGTTTTCCATGTGTACAGGTAACCAGAGAAGTTTCAGTTTCACATCTCTGGTGTCGGGATCAATTATGAGGCATCTGCGTCCCTTCACGGTAAGCTCCATTTTGTTTACAAGCTTGGTTTTACTTAAGGCGTTTGCGCACGTTACCATCCAGACATGGCTCATCTGAAATTGGCCTATTCCGATGATATCTTGGGCGTCGACAACATCTCGTAAGGCGTCACGGAAGTCTGGGGCTCGGTAGAGTCGTGCGGCGAGATCGCCATGAAGAAAGACGGAGTTCAGGCTCAAGTTACCTGTGGGTAGACGAGGTAGCACGATCCGGTATTCATTGGTCAACATCTCAGTAGTACTGGCCGAAGCCTCAGCGGTTCCCCGGCCGGTGGCCGGTATATTTTCCTTGGAGAACATCGAAAACACGACCGTTCTCAGCGGCGTCTTCTTCTTTCTCCCAGCTACTGGGGCATATCGGAACTGCGGTATCTCTTTCCTTAGTAATAATTCAGCCGATAAACTGTAAGTTGGAAAGTTTTCTGCCGATTTTCCTCTAGCAAAAGCACTCCCGGGTCGAAGTCGGGATGCACCACGCATTGGCGACATTCTCACCTAGTAAAGAAATCGTACGCGTGCATATTCAACTCGAAGTAGACACGTCGCGCTTGACGTTTGCGCGAGCGATGTCTTCAGCCACAAGAAGGGAGCGACGGCTCGGCGACGTCTTCGTGCAAATCGGCTTGGTGGTCGGGCGTGTCGTACGGGATGAATACCAATTCTTTTGACCAGTCCCAAATTTCTCTTTTAAAGGCAGACAAAATTCGCCGGTACCGCGAACGACAGTTCTGAAATAGAGGTCCCACGCCCGTCGTCCGCTGCCATCGCCGTCCCTGCGAGTCCCACGATACGCGAAACGACGCACGCACAGAATGTTTCCGGTTGTCTGTGGAACTTTTTTTTCAATCAACGTATTTGCAGCTTTTTAGAATCCGCAAAAAATGGGTTTCATATTTTTTTCTATTTTTAATATTGAGTGTGTGCCTTCAGTGACCCACGACTTTGATTAAATTTGGTGGTCGCATCGATACCTTAGAAAATGGCCCGTGACCGCGGAAAAGAGAGTGAGCGAGACTCGAACCGGCCAGTTCTTGATCGGCGGTTTTCGGGCGCAAAGAAACCGAATTTCGAGCCGCAAATTCTGTTCTGGGTAGTTGAGCTCTCATATGTCACGTACAACTAAAAACCTCGGCGAGCATAAATACCCTGTCAGTGTTAAGGCCACGGTCCCACTGAATGTGGCAGTTTAGGTACTTTTTGGCAGGTCATTACTCATCTCCTTTTAAATACTGTCTTGTGGAATTGATGTCATTCGAAAGGCAATGCAATGCTCTTTCATTTGATATTATGTATGTGTTGGTTTTTACTGTTCATGCGCGTTTGTAGCGTTGCGAATATGATGGCGCGGACCCGCACTTGCTCCACTAGTTCATGTTTTATGAACGATACATTAAAGATAGCACGGTTCCAATATAGCAGCTTTGTTATGATGATGTCGGAGCAGAATGTAACGATACACTTTTTTGGTATTTGCACTACTTTGTTTTTTTCATCCCTCCAAATACTGCCCTAAAATTGACATTTTTCAGCACAAATATGTTTTTAATGACAAGAGCTAGGGAAATGAAATTATATAGCTACAGATGGAGTGCTTATAATTCGTAATATGAAGAAAAAAATTTAATGTTGTGTAAAATTTTTTTGTTTAGATATTTTATATCAAACGTAGCACTTTTTTGTGCTTCGAGTCATGGTACTTCAAATGCCGCTGAGGAAATAATTAAACTATGATAAAATATTTTATAACATTTAGAGCTACAATGGTTGCCCAAGACGTGGACGATGGCTTTTTTTTCATTTTCAAAGTCATAATGCTCCAGGAGCCCTTCAAACTTACCTGTTTTTGACGCATATCTTTTTTGGACATCAAACAGATTTATTGGCATCTAATAACATTTATTGTTAGGAATAGATATACATTGCGATGTATTAAATTTTCACAATGATCTTGCTTTGGTTTCTTAATAGGTGTAGAGCCTAGCTAATTTTAAAAACAATTAAAAAATGTTTGGGTGTTTTGTTGCGCTACCTGGCGGACGGCCGACAAAGTGCTGATTTCTAGTGTTCAAAAAATTTCCGAGGGCGGCGTTGGCGTCTGTATCATCATCAATCTCCGTGTCTTTTTACCTTCACATTTAAAAAAATATTGGAAGATTTACTATCGATAAATGAATGGTTTAAGTACTGGGTCAGGTTAATAAACCTAAGACAAATAATTACACACGCGTAGCGTGATATAATGTGTTCAGTGTTCGATAAGATTGAAATCAATAAACAATAAAGACGAAAGGAAAATAATGCACCCGAAAAAAATGACCAGCACCGAGCTGCCAAATTCGGGCTCATTATTCGGCCTTCCTCGAGGGGTTTTCTCACCAGGAGGACCAGAAGAAAGGCCCACTACTTCGAGCAACGTTCCAGCCACCGATGTAAGCGGTCAGCCCGAAGCCATGGACACGAAGATTGCGAGCAACGCCGAAACCGCCCCTATCGAGGCGGGACCGGCAAGTCTTGCCACTCCGACACTGAAAAAGCCAACAATGGAGTGCCCCGCCGTTGTATGCTTCGGTGAGCCCTCCACGATTCCAAACACGGCTTTTTCAGTTGAACAAACTGTAAGGTCCCTTCTCGCGAGTATCCCGAGGGAGAACCTTTTAGACATATTCAAGGACATACTTGGAGAAACCCATGAAATTGTGCCAACCAAAGCGAAGAAGAAGAAATCGGCTTCAAAGAAAGCTCCGATAAACCCTCTAGGTACAAAACAAACGCAAGAAGCGCCGGCCGCAGCCGGCACCACGCCCATACCAGACACAACGCCGCATGCAGTGGAGAACAAGCGCGCCAGTTCGATACCTGCGGGGACACTCGCACCACCACCGAACGCGGTCAGCGAGATGCCACCTGCTACACGAGAGGAACCTGAGGACACGGTTGGTTGGACCCAGGTGACGTATAAGAAGAAAAGGAAACGGGTCCGAGGGGACCCGACACAGCAAACTTCCGAGGAAGCCAAGTCAACCCGGCGCTGGCAGTACGAGTATAAGATCCGTTTGACGCGTTCACAAATCTCGATCAAGCCCCTACTTCCACTACTCAAAATGCACCTCACGGGCACTCACATCTCTACGGCCTTCACAATGCATCTCATAGAAAAGGCTAACACGATTTCGGTCCGCACAGATTCGAAAAAGTTAGCCGAGACTCTTGAGAAGATCACAGAGATCGGCATTGAAGAGAAAGGCAAGATACCCATACAAGTCTTCAGGACTTATGGGAGTACACACAGCAAGGGTGTCATTTATGACATATATCCCAAGGAAGAGGACCCGCAAGACGACGTCCTCAATTCGGAAATTGAGTCAAAAAAGCCTCACGTGGTAGCCGCTCGAAGACTAGGCAAGTCAAACACGGCGGTCCTCACGTTCGATGGAGAGAAAACGCCTCGATCTGTTCTTTACGGCAAGAGGTACATGCGGGTATTCCCGTTCAAACCGAAAGCAGTAACCTGCGGGCACTGCCACCGTCTAGGACACAAGTTCGATATATGCCCGAATACGGCAGTGTGCCCTATATGCGGAACCGACCATCCAAGACCAACGGACCCGACCCAGGGACCTGGATGTACCGACACTACACCCTACTGCCAGGGATGTAAAAAGAAGGGCCACCTCGGAACCGACCGCAAATGCCCCACATGGCAGGAAACCAACAAAAGAATGCGGAAAGACATCAAGAGTTTCAGAGAACAGCACAAGCTGCAACAGCAACAACAGGAGATAGGAAATAGACCAGTCAAGACCCCGGTACCGCCCAGTGAGAACCTGTGGGCCAATAAGGTCAAGCAGGGTCTCTCGCCACCACCGTTACCATCGCCAACGGCAGAAGCACAAGAATTGCGCAACACGTGCAACTTCCTCAAGGCAGAGCTAAACAGACTCAACACCATCGTTCGGTCTCTACAGGAGGAAAACAAGAAGTATAAAGAATACGCCAATCATCAACGGGCACTCGCAGCCCAATTCTTTGTGGAAAAATGATTAAGGTACTCCAGTGGAACTGTCAGGGGCTTCGCAAACGGGCGGCGGAGCTTCGGATACGACTCCTGGACAAGCCCGATGAACGTCCCGACGTAATGCTACTTCAGGAAACTAACACGTCAAGCATCAACTTTAGCGGCTACACAGCCTACTCCAGCCCATCAATCACATCTAAGCGCCCAGGTTACTCGGCTTCTCCACCGGGAAAAGCTATTGTCTACGCAAGGAGCGACTGGTATCAACACCAGGTCGACCTTACTCCATACTGTGATGAACACCAAGAAGTGGTTGCAGTTCGCGCAACGGTTCAGCAGACGAACCACATTTTTTGTGTCCATCTACTACAGACCGCTTAGAGACAAGACGCATACAAGGAACCACGGATGGATCGCTCATCTGCACGATGTATACCCCCGAGAGCAGAAGCACTACGGCGGAGACTTCAACCTCCAACACCAAACGTGGGGCTACGCACAGTCTTCGAACGGAGCGGAAGATCTAATAGGTGAGATGCAAACATTTCGTTTGCAATTGGCAAACAAGAAAGGAACCAAGACAAGACTGGGAGGAGCCGGACAGAAGGACACGACACCAGATCTATCATGGACGACAAATCAGTACATACAGCATCAAAAATGGAAGTGTCTCCCAGACCCATGGGGCAGCGATCACTTCCCCATTATCTTTGAGTTCTCGCCCACAAAGAAGGTAAAGAACATGACGAAGAAACGAGTGGCCAAGACCGTTCACTGGGACAGGTTCAGGGATGTCCTTAGGGAAGACAAATCAGAAGAGTCCAGCTTCGAGAGCCTCCTCAACAGCGCCCTGCAGGCAGCCACAATCAAGACAAACGTTGAAGAAGACGCTCCTAACCCTGATATTTTCCTTCTCAACCTCTGGGCCAAGCGACTGCAAGCGGTGCAGAAGTACCGAAAGGGGTACAAAACCCCACTAGGCAGGCAAGCTATTACTAGAGCGACGGTGGAAGCAAAGGTGTACGCCCAAAAACTAGACTCACGCCGCTGGCTAGATTACAGCGCTTCACTTTCCGACAAGACCTCGATCACGAAGCTCTGGGCTACGAGTCGAGCCTTGCTCGGAAAAAAGAAGACTAAAGGAGCGACGCAGACACTAGCTCTCAAACTGAACAAGTCTGAGGAACAGTTAGCCAGAATGTCGGGAGATCTCTTCTTTCCTCAACCTGACCTAACCGGCTGCGACCCCCCTTACTATCAAGAAATTCTGGCTCCCGATCACGAGATGGACCGTCTCTTTACGCGCGGAGAACTCGAGTGTGCCTTGAATCAAGGGAAGTTGCACACGGCACCGGGATCAGACAAAATCACTATGGCTATGCTACGAAACCTCCCAGACAACACGAAAGAACAACTCCTAGTCATGATCAACCAGATCTGGGAAACTGGCAAACTTCCCCAGCAGTGGAAGCACTCGCTCGTCATTCCAATTCCCAAGCCGGGCAAAGACAAAGGTGCACTCTCCAGCTACAGGCCAATCTCTCTAACGTCATGCACATGCAAGTTGATGGAACGAATGGTACTTGCAAGAATCGTATGGCATCTGGAATCTACGGACGCCTTCCACCCCGCCCAGACAGGGTTTCGACCGAGTCTCGGAACGCAAGAAAGCCTCGCCCTCATATCGGCTGACGTAATACGAAACATCAACCCCAACCGCGCAACCATCAGAACAATTGTGGCGATTGATGTCAAGAAAGCTTTTGACTCGGTCCCACACGCATCAGTCATCAACGAAGCTCGAAGACTCGGCATAGTCGGAAGGCCGCTGAACTTTGTCAAGAACTTCCTTGAAGGGAGAACGTTCTCGGTACGCTGCGGCTCGCACGACAGCGAACCGAGAGTGAACCGAGTCGGAGTCCCACAAGGCTCCGTGCTGTCACCAACGCTCTTTAATATCGCGATGGCAGCCCTGCCTCACGAACTTGCAAAGATCCCCAACTTGGGCTTCACCGTGTACGCGGATGACGTCTCGATATGGACCAAGAACGACGACATTGCAAGCCAGCAAGACACTCTACAAGCGGGCCTAGATACAATCGAAGCCCACCTATGCAGGGTGAAAATGCAAGCCTCTCCGGAGAAAACCAACTACACCGTAATCGCACCGAAAAGACACCGTCTCGCCAAGATTGCAGAACAACTAAACCTCGTTCTTGCAGGCAAGCGAATCGAGCCATCCACGTCTGTCAAGATATTAGGGATCACTATTGAGGAGACCGGTAAGGCAGACATCTGGCTCCAGGACACACTTAAACATTGCAACTCTGCCCTTAATGCCATTCGGCGCATCTGTAGCGCAAGGGGTGGAGCGTCAGAAGAAATTGCCAGAAGAATGGTTAAAGCTTTAGTAGTTTCGCGTGTCTGCTATGGGGCTCGACACTACTGGCTGACCAAGGCGCAATGGCAAAAGCTCGAAGCTCTGAACAACCAAGCAAAAAGAATAATCACGGGCCTGCCCAAGTTCTGCCCCCTGGGCAAGCTGAACGAACACGCTCAGATTAACTCCCTACACGAAACCGTTGTTGTCCGCACGGTCGCGCACGGGGAGAGACTTAAGCACACACGACAAGGGAGAAGGATCCTGGAACTCCTATTAAGATGTACCGGAGACCTACCCAAGCTACCACAGGAACTCCCGCCATGGGAAGATCACGCAGAAATCACAGACAACAAGCCAAGCACGCGGAAGGGCGACAAAAAGCAACAAGACCGCCTCGCTAGGGCACACATCAAGATGACGGAGGCGTGGGAAGAAGGAACGAACGGGATCGTGGCTGCATACACGGACACTGCTTCGATAGACGGCCCAGTCACTCTAAAGACCGCGGCTGTTATCTTTCCAACACTAGGCACAAGCGCAACCAAGAACCTTCCAGCCCGCACCTCGGTCAAAGGGGGAGAACTTGCAGCAGTCCGCCTTGCCCTCGAGACGGCCCTTGCATTACCTGAACCACCACCAGAGCATATCCGGATATTTACGGACTCTCAGGAAGTGGTAAAAGAATGCAGAAAATCAAGAAGCCCTAGCGTAGACGTGCGTAATATCAAGAAACTCGCCTCACTGCTACTAGCAAGAGGCACGACTACGAGAATAGCCTGGGTTCCTGCACACGCAGGAATACCCGGCAACGAAGAGGTGCATCGACTCGCCCGCGCGTCCCTTCTCGCTCCCCGTGAACGAGACGATACACCTTCACTGCAAGACCACGACCACGGCTACGCTCCCGTCCGCGATCGGGCACCGGCTAGTCGAGCACGAGAGGAAGACTGCAACGATGGAGGGTACGATCCAGGAGAGGAACGTGCCCAAATCAAGCAAGAACACCAATCAACACTCTGGGAGAAACTTCCCCCAACACCAAACCCTCCTCTGCCAACAGGGTTTGGAAGAAGGGCCAAGGTCCTCCTGACCAGGATCAGAACAGACACAACATTAACACCAGCGCGCATAGCATCTTGGAGCCGCGGGAAGAGATCCGGCACCTGCACCAAGTGCAATATGGGTGCCAAAGCGGACACTTTTCACTTGTTGTGGGAATGCCCCAAATACAAGATCACCAGGTCGAAGCACCGACCGAGTAACGTCGCCTCTCTGGAAGGTTGGACACACCCGCCAGGCGAAGAGGACAACAAGAGAAGCATCCTCCGAAGTCTCATAGATTTCATCTTCGAGGCGAACCTGGATATCTTTATTTAGCCTAGTTTAATATTTTCTTTTTTTGCCAGCGTCCAGACCTCGCAGCCGCCGACGCACTCCCCCATCCCTTACCCTTATTTTATGGCCAATAAACGCTTTCTGAACTGAACTGAACTGCACCCGAGTTCACTTCATGCCTAGAGTCACTAAATGAGCTTTAAAGTATCGGCACTCCGTTCCCCACAATTGTTTTGGGCGCCGCCATTTTGGGTCTTGTTCAGAGCAAACGCAACTGCCGATCGTCATGATCCAAAAGTACAACTTCCTCAGCATTAGATGCGGTGCTAGGGAGCTGATGCAATATTGCAATGCTCTGTCGCGGGTTGTTTAAACATTTGTGCTGGACGGAAAAGCGTTTCCTGTGATTTTAAATAAAGCTTCAGGTAACTGGCAACCATGATTTTAAGCCACAATATGGCCAGGTGTCGTTCCTCTGAACCGTAGCTAATTTACTGGCACAAGCGGGAACAATGAGGAAGAGGCAGGTGTCAAGAGGTAGTGGCTTGTGGAATCCACGGGGCTTACGTCATGGCCCCTCCAGGTATTACAAGCCTCTTGAACAAGAGCATGAATAGTGTCATTAAATAAGCTACGCGTCAGAGTAGCGACACTTGGCCATATAATGGCTTAAAATCATGGTCGCCAGTTATTTGAAGCTTTATCTGAAATCACAAGAAACGCTTTTCCGTTCTCCACTTTAAAAAGTGTGCGACAAAGCAAAGCAACATTACATGAGCTTCCTAACACCGAATCTAATGTTGAGGATGTCGCACTTTTGAATCATGACGATCGGCAGTTGCGCCTGCTCTGCACAAGCACCAGAATGGCGGCGTTCACAACACTGTCTGTCGGGGAAGACAGTGCCGATACCCTAAGCGCAGCTAATTTATTTGCTCTAGTTCCCGCGAAACTCCTTTTCCCTGACTGAAACTGAAAGTAAATATGAATAATACACCATTATTATAGCTTATTTAGTTATAACCAACTACACATAATGAGAGGAGGAAGCGACCGGGTAGGAGAAATGCGGGTTTTAGGTGCGACCGTTCTAACCGTCTCAAAAGAGAGAACGCGCGAACTTGCGCTGGTTTAAAAAAAGGCATCAAAAGAAAAGAGGCGGCAGGCTGTGCTCGACTGACGAAAATAATCCCTGGAGAAGGGGAACAAGAGGGACAAAGGACAAACACCCGGGTTCGATACCCGGACCAGGCGGATTTTTTCGGTCGCTCACCAGTCACCTAGCTGTGTTTGGAGATTTGTGTTTGTCCTTTGTCCCTCTTGTTCCCCTTCTCCAGGGATTATTTTCGTCATTCTTGTCCAGCTCGCTTGCACCTTTGGATTTAATTGCATTCTAATCAAGGCTGTGCTCTTTGTTATTATGCGTCTAATTGCAAATTGTTGTGTGTATGTTTATACAGCCGGAAGTTAGTCCGCCTTAGTGGGCGTCTGACTCTCAGCTGTAGATGAGCAATTTAGCCAGTGCGGTACAACCGCAAACCTGGGGTCTTTAACGTGCACCACGCAGTATTGACACAGGACCGCACGCCGGTACGATGCTCCTCCAGATCGAAACGGGCAGGGGCGGGGTGGCTTCTGCAGCGCGAGCTTTCGCTCCAAGTGCTCCGAGCTGGTGTGCGGCTCGGAGCGAGCTTGTGTGCGGCTCGGAGCACTTGGAGTGGAAGGTACAGGCCCGCGTCCCCTCTCCCATTTTGAGTGTACGCAGGCCCTCCTCCATCCCCATTTCCGGGGAGAGGAGGAGAGCCCGCGCACACTCAAAATGGGAGAGGGGACGCGGGCCACTGCATTGCCAAGAAAAGTTGTCGCGGAGTATAGACCATGCACTCGGCCACCGACCCCCCCCCCCCCCCCCCCCTTGTGCGTCTAATTTATATACAAGTATAAGTATTTGAAGATCGACGATGGACGTCGATCGTCTCGAGGTAATGTAACGTAATAACATTATATAAATAATAAACTTGTTGAAGGACTGAACGACTCAATTTTTCAATTCTTGGATTGTAATATGGCGGTAGCCTGTTGTACTTACTGTTGATGAAGAGCAATATGAGGTGACGAGGCAATGATTAAATGATGAGGCTCTATAAGGACGACGACATTAGTGGGTGTCGAACCACAACCTACAGTGCCAGACTTGTTTCCAGTATCGGGTACCCAAAGACGACTTTCTTCACCCGCAACAGAATATGGTAGAATCAATGAGGATGCTGCTTTACAACTGTACGTGGAACAGGAAAACTGCACTGTGCAGAAGTGCGGCTTCTTTGTTAATAGGAGGGACGGATTTCTAGCAGCATTTCCTGATTGACTACTTGGAACATATGACCTCGTTGACGTAAAGTGTTCCCGTTCCCAAAGATTCTTAAGCATACTTAAACCGCAAAGGAGTATGAGGCGAATAATAAGAAAAAGGAGCCTGGTGTGAAAGGTCCAAATCACCACCATAGCTTCTACTCTCAAATACAAGGGCAGTTACACAATACACAAAGAGAGTTTTGTGATTTAGTTATATTTACACTCAAGGGCATTGACATCCAACGTATTCAGAGAGATGACACCTTCTGGTCAACCAACATAGAGCCTTTTCTACTCAAGTTTTACATGGAAGGCCCGACTTCAGCTGAAATTCCTTACGTAGACGAGTTGTCCGACGAATAAACTGCCATTACTCCCGATCTGGGAATCTCTCGATCTTCGTTTGTCAGCCATGGTATCACGAGATCGAGGGGTGTGGCTCTACGTCCGCTGAATATTGCTTCGGCGGGTGTTTTTACCGTGTAAGATGAGACCGTCGCGTTCTGCTGGAACAACAACCTGGCGATTCTTCACTGAACTGCTTCTTCCGTAAGCTTCAAAAGGACTTTTTTTTTTTTTTTTTTTTGTTTCGCACACCATTTGTTTTGCATGCCCGTTAGTTGCAGGATGGTATGGTGCACTAATGTGATGCCTGATGCCAGCTCTTTTTTTTCGTTTTTTTTTTTTGTTTTTTTTTTTTTTTTTTTCAAAAGCTTGTTTTTTTGTTTTTTTTATTTGAAGCAAGATATGGCGCGTTATCAGAGAAAAATATTTTCGGTAGGGAAAAAGTAGGGAAAAGAGAGCGTAGAACGTCAATGACGCGTTTGGACGTCGTGGCAGGCATCGTGTAAACTTCCAACCACTTAGAGTACGCATCGACCATGACTCCGCAGAGGGGGATACGTTTCGCCACCCACCGACTGAATAGTGGATCGTTTTCAGTTACTGTTCATGATGGCGTTGAATTCAAGGAAGACTTCGAGTCTTTCCACAAAGTTAGCCCAGGTGCCAGCACTTTTGTCGAGAGCGGTAAGTGTTCGAAACGTCGGCAACGTCGGTAGCCACGTGCTGTGCTTGACACAGGACACTTACCATTCGCTGAGAAGAAACTTGCTTGTTCGTCTGCCAGGAGTCGTCCGATATCAGGTCATCACCGCAACATCATCTCCCGACAAAACGCATCTCCATAGTTAGCAATCACGTGAACTTATAAATTCCCGAACGCTCATAACTTGCCGTCGCTAAACGCCGTTCATTCACAGCGTCATCATTGCAAATAAACGTCTTCCTATTTCTTCTGATGGTTTTCATCATATTCCTCCTAAGCTGTACTTACATTATGTGTGTCGGTACTTCCGAAAATATTGCAACGGCGTTTGTTTTCTGGGAACCCTATAACGTAACAACCTTTACAACATCTTCCGGACCCCGTGAAACACAACATTTCGTGACGTTATTTTAGTCGTCATTAAAATGGTGAGGTAAGTACCGTAAATCGCGAAGCAGTTTACTTGACGTCCGCTTCCACTGGTGTCTTGGAAGATTGAGTCTACTGAGCGCGCATTCCTGCACAAGAAAGTTTCATTGATAGAATATTAACACGTCAATCAACATTTGATTCCTTCTTGGTAAGATTCATTGCGAAAGCCCGTTACAGCCGCCGAACCGCATCTCCCTATTGGCGACGTGCGCGACCGAAAGCGTCGCTGTGGTTGGCCTTCCACGATTGGCCCAAAAGCTGACTATGACGTCGGAAAGGGTATACCATCGACGGAAATAAGAGGAATGAAAGAACTTTAATTTCGACGGTGTTGGCAGGGTTCCTTTGAGAGCGCAATGATTTCAGGCTTCCACCATGCTATTTACAAACACCATCAAACTTGTTATTCGCAAGGTAATGACGTCACAAGGGGGAACCATAGGAGAGCGCCACCAAAACATCTCGCCGCTAATATCAGAGAACAATTTATACCCAGCCTGACATTCTCGCATACAGACTTGTACGTAATCCGTTACAAGTAACGAAATTACTTGTAATCCCTTACATTTATCAGTAATTTTGTAACGGAATAATTACATATTTTCTAGAGTAATTTTAAAGTAATTCCCTTACATTTTTGACGTAACGGATTCCTTGTAATCCGTTACATTTTTTAGTCAGAACCAACCAACCCCCCCCCCCCCCCCCCGCCCTCATTCGAAAATAAAGGTTTTTCTTTCTTTTTTTTTTTTCATTTTTGTAAAGTCGAGCGCAGTGACACTGTCACGCGAATCGACCAGCGCAAAGGGAGGGGGGGAGGGGGGCAAGTTATTTCCGCTTTTTTTTTTTTTTTTATACCCTTTGTTGTTTTTTTTGCGATCGAAGACGGGGAGAGGAGGACGCCAAGTGATTGTGCGCCTCTTCGAGTAGCTCGAGGCGGTAAGTGCACTGAAAAGAATTAACAGTGTTTCTCGGTTATAGTGACTCCGACCATTTTCAAAATGTCACAACAGGAGACAACGCTCCGTCTACCCTACCCTTTTTGTGAGTAAGCTTTTTGCGAGCATTTAGAAAATGGTAACAGTCTTCCTTTCTTCTACTTCCTGTTTTGCCCCAGCAGGACGCATCTTATCTCAAGCAGATATTTTTACAGATAAAACATAATGGTGGCTGACGTAGACTTGATATTCTGGGCTTGAGGAGTGTGTTAAATTCGTGAGTGGGGCCATAGCGCGGCTTACTTAGTACTTAAAGGAGCTGTGCAACAATTTCAGG